TGCAGTCTTTAATCTGCATCAGCAAGTGCTTCCAGTCATCCTCAGTTTCAGCAAGCAAAGTTGTGTCATCTGCATATCACAGGGTGTTAATGAGTCTTCCTCCAATCCTGATGTCATGTTCTTCATAAATCCAGCTTCTTAGATTATCTGCTCAGCACACAAATTGAATAAGTATGGTGAAAAGATAAACCTTGACACACTGTCATCTTGATTTTGAAACACAAATTATCCCCTTGTTCTGTTTGAATGAAAGCCTTCTGATCTATGTACAGGTTCCTCATGAGTACAATCAAGTGTTTTGGAATTCCCATTCTTCTTATTGTTATACATAATTTGTTATGATCCACACAATTGAATGCTTTTGCATAGTCAATAAAACATAAGTAAATACCTTTCTGGTATTCTTTGCTTTCAGCTAAGATCCATCTGACATCAACAATGATATCCATCATTCCACATTGTCTTCTGAATCCAACTCGCATATCTAGAAGTTCTCTGTCAATATACTGTTGCAACCATTTTTTAATTATCTTCAGTAAGAATTTAGTTGCATGTGATATTAATGATACTGTTTGATAATTTCCACATTCTGTGGGATCACCTTTCTTTGGAATTGGTAAAAATATGGATCTCTTCCAGTCAGTTGGCCAGGTAGCTCTCTTTCAGATTTCTTGACATAACTGAGTAGGTGCCTCCAATGAAGTATCCATTTGTTGAAACATCTCAATGAGTATTACATCAATTCCTGGAACCTTGCTCTTTGCCAATTCCTTCAGTGCAGCTTCGACTACTTCCTTCAGTACCATTGATTCTTGATCATATACCACCTCCTGAAATGAATGAACATCTACAAATTATTTTTGTTACAAGAAAATACAAAAGAATGCATCTTTGCTGTATTCCTTCCATCTTATTTTGATGGTCCCTGCATCATTCAATACTTTGCCCATAGAATCTTTCAATATTGCAACTTGAGGCTTAATTTTTTTCCTCAGTTCTTTCAGCTTGAGAAATGCCAAGCATGTCCTTCCCTTTTGGTTTTCAAACACCAGTTCTTTGCACATTTCATTATAGTAATTAGCTTTGTCTGCTTGAGTTGCTCTTTGAAATCTTCTGTTCAGCTCTTTTATCTTGTCATTTCTTCCATTTCCTTTAGCTACTCTCCGTTCAAGGGCAAGTTTCAGAGTTTCTCCTGACATCCATTTTTGTCTTTTCTTCCTTTCTTGTCTTTTTAATGACCTCTTGCTTTCTTCATGGATGATGTTCTTGATGTCATCCCACAGTTCCTCTGGTTTTTGATCATTGGTGTCCAATGCATCAAGTCTGTTCTTTAATGGGTCTCTAAATTCAGAAGTGGAATACTCAAGGTCATATTTTGGCTTTCATGGACTTGTCTTAATTGTCTTCAACTTCAACTGGAACATGCATATGAGCTATTGATGGTTTGTTGCACAATCAGCTCCTGGCCTTGCTTTGGCTGAAGATTTTGAACTTCTCCATCGCCTCTTGCCACAGATGTAGTCAATCTGATTCCTATGTACTCCATCTGGTGAAGTCCACATCTATAGTCATTGGTTATGTTGTTGAAAAGTAGGTATTTGCAATGAATAATTCGTTGGTCTTGCAAAATTCTGTCATGAGATCTCCAGTGTTATTTTTTGTCACCAAGGCCATATTTTCCAACTACCAGTAGTTTTTCTTGTTTCCAACTTTTGTATTCCAGTTACCAGTGATAATCAACACATCTTGATTACAGGTTTAATCAATTTTAGACTTCAGAATTTGGTAGACATCTTCAGTATCCTCATCTTTGGTTTTGGTGGTTGGTGTGTCAAATTGGATAATAGTGGTATTAACTAGTTTTCCTTTTAGGCATATGCATATTATCCTATCACTGACAGCATTGTACTTCAGGACAGATCTTAAAACAGTCTTTGTGATGATGAATGCCACACCATTCCTCTTCAATTTGTCATGCCCGCCATAGTGGATCATTTGGTTGTCTGATTCAAAATGGCCAAACCCAGTCCATTTCAGCTCAATAATGCCTAGGATATTGGTCTTTATGCATTCCATTTCATTTTTGATGAATTTTCCATGAATCAATTTCCTAGGTTCAAACTTCATGCATTCCATGTTCTAATTATTAATGGATGTTTGCATCTGTTTCTGCTAATTTTGTGTCATGCCACATCAGCCGATGGAGGTCAAAAAAGCTTTACTCCATCCATATCATTAAGGTCAGCTCTACTCTGAGGAGTCAGCTCTTCCCCAGTCAAATTTTGAGTGCCTTCTGACCTGATGGGCTCATCTTCTGGCACTATATAAGATAATGCTTCAGGGCTGCTCAGTAATATATCAGATAGTGTTTCACTGCTATTCATAAGATTTTCACTGGCCAAGTCTTTGAGAAGTAGATGGCCTCTTCCTTCTTCTGAGTCTAAGCCCAGGAGCTCTACTGAAAACTCTCTACCATGAGTAATCCTGCTGGCATTTTGCAACACAGTGACTTAGCCTCCAGCCTCACAGCAACATGTAAGCCACCACAGCATGACAAACTGACCACAAGTTTGCATCCCTTAGTGTTTCCTAACCCTTCTGCTCCTGCCTACCTCAGGCCCTGGCCTTAATATAGAGCCACACCTAAGTAAAAAGTGGTCTCCTAGCTCTGGCCTGCCTACCTCAGGCCTTGGCCTTAATAGAGAGCCACATCCAATTGAAAAGCAGCCTCCGGGCCCCAGGTATACCTACCTCATTCCCCAGCCTTAATAAAGAGCCACACTCAAGAGAAAAGCAGCCTCCAAGCCCTGGCCTGCCTACTTCAGCCCCTGGAGTTAACATAGAGCCACATCCAAGCAAAAAGCAGCCTCCAATCCTCCTACTTTAGGCCATGGCCTTAATGTGGAGCCACCCATAAGCAAGAAGCAGCCTCCAAACCCCTTTCCCATCTACCTTAGGCCCCTGCCTTAATATAAAGCCACACCCAAGTGAATAAACAAAAAATAATAAATGAAAAAAACAAACTCACTGCCATTGAGTAAATTCCAACTCATTGTGACACCCTTTGGGTTTCCAAGGTGGTAAATCTTTATGGAAGTAGAATGTCCAGTCTTTGTCCCATGAATTGTCTGGTGTGTTTGAACCGCTAATCTTCTGGTTAGCGGTCAAATTCCTTAGGCATTACATGAGCAAAGGTAGGTTTAAATATATGTATATTTGTATCCATTTATCTATATCTATACCTGTGACTATCAATTAGTCTCTCTATAAATAATAAACAAAAGTAACCTGAAGTGATAATTATTGACTTGTCAGCCATACTTTGTTGCCAAAAGTATTTGAAGTGGTATAAAAGTATATTTGATCACAGGAATGTTTTGTGCTTCTGCACTGTCTTATAAAAATGAGGTTATAAATATAAATTAGGAGCTCTGGTAGCATAGTGCCTAAGGCACTTGACTGCTAATGAGAAGGCTGGTGGTTCAAACCCACCAGCCCCTCCTTGCAAGGAAGATGGGGCAATCTACTTCCATAGTGATACTGCCTCAGAAACCCAAGGAAGGGTCATTATGAGTCAGGTCCGACTCAATGGCACATAACGACAATAACAAATATAAATTAATTTTGTGTAAATTATGAAAGAACATAGTTTGTAGGAAATAGTACATAAATGTTTACTATTATTATCATGTTATGTGTATGCATATGTAATTATACACATATTGTATGTATTAACACGTCTGATATTAAACAAAAAAAAGCTATCTGAGAGATACACTAGTGCATTTACAGCATGATGTAATTTGTTTTCATACTAGAATATCTTTGGTTATTTACAAATTGATGATTACATTTATATCGAGGCAAGGGTTATTTGAGGGTCAGATGGTGTTCAGGTAACAAAGTTTGAGTCTTCACATCTGTCATGGCCTGCATTCTATTTGGAATATTTAGTCTGTAATATGAGCCCTGGTAGCACAGTGGTAAAGCAGTTGGATAATAACTAAAAGTTGGCAGTTCAACCACTAGCAACAGTGTGGGAGAAAGGTTTGAAAATCTCAAAAAGATTGCAGTGAAGAAGAGTGAAGAAAATCAAGATCATTTGAAAACAATTAGCCCAAGGATATGCTGGATCTCAAATTCACTAGAACGAGATGGTGCCCAGCTATCAATATCAACCACTCGGGAAGGGATCAAAACTGGAGATCCTGGATAGAGTGGGAAGAAAAACATGGAACAAAACTCAAAAACACAGTAATGACCAGAATTACTGGTTGGATAGAGTCTGGTGTGATCCCCGAGACTATGACCTTGGGATACATTTTGGGCCTGAGATATAGGACTCATTCCCAAGGACTGGTTCTCAGCCCAACAGCCGAAAGACTTTCACGCAGAACATCTAACCCAGAGCGATGCACCCACCTACTCTAAGAAGATACATCCCTTAGAGCAATCGGCCATGGGCACCAGAGGAGCAGCATTCACATGGAGGGAAAGCTGGACAGAC